CCGCCCATGGCGCCGGGACTGCACATGACCCTTCAGAAATCACTCTAATATGAGGATCTGATGCTCAAGAAACATTTATGATTATTATCAATGTTGAAAACAGTTTTTAAACAGATTATTTGATGAATAAAAGGTCATAAGAACAGCATTTGTTTAAAATAGAAATCTTTTTTAGCAAGATAAATGTCTTTACTGCAATAAAAAAAAAAGATATCTCAATATTTTCTGGGATTTTATCGATAACAATATTTAGACGATATTTTGCTCAGTGGTTTATTGGGTCTGACTCCTAAAGTTTTTGATATTCTTCATATTCTGTATTTTAAACAAGACAATGTTTAAAATAGTCCGAGTGACTACAGTGGCTCAACCTTAAGTTTATCAAGCGACGAGAATACTTTCTGTGCGCAAAAAACAAACAAAAATAATTACTTTATTCAACTCTTCATGTTCTTCTGTGTGGGCCTCGAGTGAGTTCACGTATCGTTATTTTTGTTTGTTTTTGCGCGCAAAAAGTATTCTATTTTTTTCTATAGTATTTTAGCGATGTGTTTACTAACTTTTCTGAGCCGGCAAGTTTCAATAACATAGAAGCCTATGGAGGAGTGATCCAGCTCTCAGATTTAATCAAAAATATCTTAATTTGTGTTCCGAAGATGAACGAAAGTCTTACGGGGTTGAACAACATGAGGGCGAGTAATTACTGACAGAGTTTACATTTTTGGGGGAACTATCCCTTTAAGGAAAAAGTCAGATTTGCATGATATGTCCCCTTTAAATGTGGCTGTGATCAGGAACACTTGTTTGCGCAGGATCTCGTGCCAGGCACACATTACACACGCCTCTGCGTCTGAGGGTCAGATCTTAATGAGTCTCGCGCCGGGGGTCCAGAGAGCGGCTCGCGTGCGTGCGCTCCAACTCAAACAAACCCAGCGAAGGCATTATTCAGGAGCCCCCAGCATGCAGTGCACAGGCTAAACCATCTGACGGAGAGATGAAATATGTTATTTAGACTGAATGCCAAAGCCATAGGAATCATCTGGAGCGCTGCGGTAACATTATACTTTAGTTAAACTCTACACAAAGACAACAGAAGCACAATGCCCACGTTTACACACTCGTTACTTTCCAATCAAAGTGAAGTTTGCGTGCTGGTTAAGATGATCATTTTTTTATGCACATGTGAGAGTGGACATGACTTTGACAAAACAATTGTAAATGAATCGTGATTTTAAAATTGGGTTCAAAATTATAATAATGTATATGGGTGAGACTTATGTAATCAGTTAAGAATGTCACATTTCAGCCCAAAATCTAAAGATAATGATCACATTTTGATGAAAATGTTTGTTATTTCTCCCGGGAAACTCGCGTAATTTGCATGGCCCAAACCACTTTATGAATAATCGGACCAATATGTTTGTCTAATGTTGACCAGTTGCCAGATCTTGTACTAAATGCATTATATTCACACAATTAGGGGTGTCACGGTACATGTAATCGTATTGAACCGTTTCGGTTCAAGGCTACCGGTTCGGTACGCATACAAACCGAACGATTCCTTGGACCATGGGTGTTTCTCAAAACCAAGAATGCAAAGAACGGACTTGTGTTCTTGGGGAGAACGCTCTTGCTAGTTGTTCTTGGAAGAATGAACTCACAAGGTGACGAGCACACAGAACGCTGCTGACAGTTTGAGACGATGTGTTCTTGCTGGTATTGCGCAATAATACCCCCGCACAGACACCGTCTGCATTACCCAAACATAACGAGAATTATTGACGATAACAGCCAGGCTGCAATGGTCTCTTGGCTGTGGGGTAAAACGAGTCTGTGAGCAAACTGGCCGGTTGGCTCGATAGCTAACGTTACACCCGCAGGCGCTTATGGAGATTCTCACTTCCGAAAACGTTTGAGAACATTTTCGATTAGCCATAAATTTTCGTAAAAATGCCAATATTTGAAATCTACACAGTTTATTTCTCGCATCAAATGTTCTCAGAAGTCAATTTAGTGATGAAATAGTGTACGTAATTGTAGAAAAACGAAATACTGTATTGACCTGCCTCTCCTTCCTCGAATGCCGAATTGAATGCTGGGATATTTCTGCCGTCAAGTTCACACAAGTTACCAACCGATGCATCCTCGGGAAAATGGGCGTGTCAAGAACACATCCGGGATTTTTAACTGTTCTTGCCAAAATGCAAACTTGTGTATTGGGACAGTACTTGGGCCACAAAAGATGACGTTTCACAAGAACACAAGGACACAAGTACAGACAAGAACACAGATTGAGAAAGGCCCCATTTTTCCTGCCGACAAAATCCGCGCCGGCGCGATCACCACAACGTTGCACAACATCAAATGGCAAACGTAATGAAAGCGGAACAGAACTGCGCTACTCATGATATTGTGCTTCACGGACCGTTTATCAGTTCGGACCAAGCGTGCCGCACAAGCCCTCAAAAGTGAAGCCAAAACGTCTCGATCGCCCCCCAGAGGCCGGTCCTAGTATAGGTCATAAGCCCCGCCTCCCCGTGTTATTCACCAGGACGCGAGACCAACTAAATAATTAAATTACACTTCACATATCTTTTTTCTAAAGATAGTTTCTGTCATTTACTGTAGTTTATATCACGTTGATGTAATTTCAAGTGTTTGTTTTTAAAATAAGTTAGTTATTAGATGCTATAAAAACGGTGCTGTGACATCATGATTGAGAGCTGTGATTGACAGGCTCTCTGTGTGAAGTAGTCACTGAAGTACTAACGGACTTTTTTTCATAATGTTGACTATGTGGTTTGTAGTTGTATTTACATTATTACCTTGTCTTAGAGGAACAGACAAGGCCACTTAATAAAAGTGCAGGGCGTGTGCTTGCGATTGGTTCAGCGAGAGTGAGGGGGCGGGGCCTTGATTTCGTGGCTTTACTTCCTGCTCACGACTGCGCATGACTGGTCCCGAAAACGCTACTGCGCAAACTCAAGTTCCAAGACACTGTTACAACACAGCGCTAAGAGATCCAGTGAAGAAAACATTTGAATTCGCCACTGAAGTAATAACATCGCTGCGAGATCTAGTGAGAAGCATTCACATTTCTCCGTTATTAACCGTAGATCTCTATTAGATCAAACAGCGCTGACGTGGACACCAGGAGAAACATTGTGCCGTGAATGATCTAGTTATAGGCTTTAAGTCCACAGATCAGCAACATTCACCATGGATTTAATATAGTAACACTGATTGTAACTAGGGATGCACGATATAGGATTTTGGCCGATATTCGATATGCCGATATTTTCAGACTAATTTTGCCCGATGCCGATATATTTGTGTTTTTTTTTAAGTGCAAAAAAAGCTTATTAAAGCTTCTATTAAAGTTCTCAGTCAAGAGCAGTGAGTGATTTCCTCTTTGTGTTTTGTTGTTTTATTAACATTAACGAGATAGTTCTCCCCAAAATTTAAATTGTCATCATTTACTCTCTCAAGTTTCTTTCTTCTGTTGAAAATAAAAGTTATTTGGAAGAATGTGGCTAACCAAACAGTTGCTGTACTTCAGTGACTTCCATAGTATATTTAAGCTCAAGAAAGAAATTAATCCAGGTTTGGAACAACATTAGAGTGAGTAAATAATGACAGAATTTTTATTTCCGGGTGCAGTATCTCTTTAAGGACAAGCGGCAGCATATTATAGATACTGTCTCTTTAAGAACTGCACGACGCGTCTAATATACACACATTTGACAAGCAGATTTTCTCTGTTTGCTTTCACTTTAGACATAACCAACTTTGTTTATGAAAACCGTGTGTGTATTTGACAGTATCAGCGCAATAAGACTGGAAAGATTAGTCCAGTATGCAGGCGCTGTGACAGGCTTTAGTTCCTGTGAGCGTCGGGTGTAACGCGCTCAGAAAAGCGCATGTTAGAACAGCGCATCAGCACGTGAATGACATGTTTACCTAGCAAGACTTTGACGCACATGCAAACAATGAACTTTTGTGAATTGCGGTGTCCCGTGAGTGTAACTCTACCTCTGCGTTTACATGTGATGTGATGTGAATGTACGTGGCGTTGTACAGTATGTTGAGATGAAGGCGCCAGAATTGAACTGAATGCACGATACTATGATTTTTCTTCAAAAGCAGATCGTGGAGACATTTTAATCGTCCACGATCAAAAACCGTGAGACGCACGGCACACCCCTAGTTGGAAGTTTAAGTTGCTGGCGCTCATGCTTCGTTCGCGTCACGTGCGCATAGGAAACACGCCACCCTATCGGCAAGACTCATCGGCAGAAATATTCATATCGGCCGATGCCGATGATGGTCATTTTAAGCTTTTATCGGCCGATACCGATGTTGTCCCGATATCATCGTGCATCCCTAATTGTAACCATGGAAGTTTGGCTGGAATAGTGAAATGCTTTCAAGTACTTCACACATCTTTTTCCAGCACTTCAAAACTCAAATATTATATAAATATTATATATATAAATATAGGCCTATATTTAAATGTTATTTTTAATGTGATGACCAAAACATTATTTGTTCATCCTTCAAAGATTACCCCCATTTATAAACCTGAACGTTTCAAGATGTAGGAAAACTCAAACTTATTTAAAAATATTTTTTTTCTTTTAATAAATAGGAAATTTCTCTGGCATCCCCCCCCCCCCCACCCCACGCCCCAGATTCACGTTTTTGAAGTTTACACAGAGATTATAACCTTTACAAAATGTTTCAAAAGTTTGCATTCTCGAGCACCACACACCGTTATCATGCAAATGAACACTACAAGTATTCTGTTTACAGTTAAACGGTGTCGTTTAAGTTGATAACTAATGATCTTTACAACAGAAGTGAATCAATCAAAACTAACTTTATCTGGACAATCACTTTATTCTAGAGCTACTGTAAAGCCTAAACACTCTCTGTTACTGTAATCTCCTGTTATCACTGTGAAACTTGCCTAGAGTTCCTGTTAAAGTGTGTTTATGTACCTGTGCGGCGCTGTAAAGCCCGTCCGCGGAGTCGGTGTGTGTCGTCGGGGCAGACTGGCCCTCCAGCCATGTGATCTTCAGTGGGTTTCCCGTCAGGCCGTTCTCGTTTTTAATCGCCAGGTCCTGATCGAGGGCACAGAAAAGATTGACATGTTATTAAAAACAAATGCCATTTTATGTTATAGTACAAAACGCTGCATAATACATAGTTTTGTATAATGGTGAAGCAGAAGCCACAACAACACCAGGGTCCAATCCCAGAACAATAACAGGTTCTGCTTTTTATTAAATATGGTTTCCTGTGCTCGAAAAGCATCAGACTGTCACGATATACTTGCAAAAACTCATTTAAAGCAAACGATATCATTCACACTAATGTTATAATATATTTATAATATAAACAAAATTAATATTATATACAATAAATATATATATATATTATTTTCATGCATTAATATTATATTTTTTCTTGTAATTTTCATCATTACCTCTGTTTTGTCTTATTTTTTATTTTATTTTTATTTATGTATTTTTTGTTGTTGTTGTTTTCCACCCTGTATGTATCATAATAAATTGTAAATAAATCATGAATACTAAAAATATTTAGAAAATTATAATATATACACGATATATAAAAATCTTCTTTTTTTTCCATGTGCTTACTGATTATTTATATTTTCTATTTTTATTTTCATCATTACATCTGTTTTGTCCTATTTTTTAATTCTATTTATTTATTTATTTTGTTTTTCCACCCTGTTTGAATCTTAATAAATGTAAATAAATCATGAATGCTTGTTTTTTTAGAATTTTTTTAAGAATGTTTTTAGAATTTTAATTCTAAATTTAGAAATGTATTCTATTTATTTATTTATCTCGTTGTTGATTTTGTCATGCATGTATATTTAATAAAAATAAAATAAAAATCAGAAATCAAATAAATTCAAATAAAAAAGGTTCAAAATTAATATACAAATGGGTTCAAAATTATAATAACATATATTCAATTGGATGAATCTTATGTAAACTGTCAAGAATGTCCAGCTCACCTAGAAATTATATTTTGCATAAAGACAAATGAATGAAAATCAACATTCAAATAAAAAGTAAAAGGTTCAAAAAACATTACGAGAATTTGGGGAAAATGGTTTAATTGTCCAGAAAATAATATCCCAATGCAAAAAAAAAAAGGCACAAAAAAAAAATATATATAAAATGGATTATTTTCCTTTAATTTTGGGCTGTTTTAATAAATCCCTTATTATTAATCCCTAATAAAAAAAGAAATAGTGTTGTGTTTTCAGCCTGTTGTGTGTGTGGAGATATTACACTCACAGCTGCTTTTACTGATGCGAACTCCACCACAGCACTGCCTTTCTTCTTACTGGATATCAGAACGTTCAAGACGTCTCCATACTGCAATGCAAATATCATTACAACACAATAATAACCACTGAAAATGGGTACAAACGCTGCTTTAGATTTCATGAGGGCAGAAAGGAGGGGAGCAGAAAGTAAAAACCGTGAGAAGGATTTGACTATTTTTAGTGCTTCAATCCTTATAAACGTCTGTCATAAATCACCAGGGCGCTCTCTATTTCTGTTCAGAGCATGAGAAACGTTCTCGATATCACATCAGGAATTCTGGGAGTGAATTTGGAGCATGGGTCAATATTTGACCTTTGACCCTCGGAAGGACTTCTGGAGGGAAAACATGCCAATTACACCTCAAAGTCAATAGAAAACAGCGCAGAACTTGTTATGAGAAATGAAAATGGAGCCTATTTTGGTATCATTACGATATTTTGGTATTACATTGGCAGATTTTCATGACAGATTTAGGTCCATTTAGTTTCCAAATAAACGTTATTTTAGATAAAACATAATTTTGTTGTTAAATATGATCCCAAAATGTAACCACAAAATAAATCAAGTCTATTTTAGGAGCTTTTTTAAAGAATTTATGACATTGTCATATTTTCATGACAGTAAAGCTCATGAACTAAATCCTAAACAAAGTTTTAAATTCGATATTATTTTTTAGAAAACATCATTTCTTATTTCTTTCTTTTGATTTTTATTCAAATATGATCACAAAATATATAACCATAATTTAACTACAAACAATCAAAAGAAAGAGTTAAGAAATTATGATTTATTTTGTAAAATAAAGTCTATTTTTAGGATTTATTACATTGTCATAATTTCATGACAGTTTACCTTTATTTAGGTCTTAAATAGATGTTATCTTTATATAAAACATCATTTTTTACATCTTTTAAAATACAATCATAAAATGTAACTACAAATATTCAACCAGAAAGTAATAAAAAGTAAGAAGAAGAAATTAAGGTTGAAGTAAAATAAAGCTTATTTTAGGAGCTTATTTCATTCAAATATGATTTAACTACAAAATCAAAATAAATAAATAAAAAATAATGAATTATTTCTTATTTAATTAATTAGATTATGAAAAATAAAGCCTATTTTTAGGGTTTTATTGTATTGTCTAATTTTCATGAGAGTAAAGCTCTCAAAAAAGGGCTTAAATAGACATTATTTTACATAAAAGATTTTTCTTTCTTTCAATTTTGTGGTTAAATATGATCATTTTGACGAAAATATTAAAAAAGTAAATACATTTTTATGTAAAATAAAGTCTATTTTAGGACCTTTTTAAATGACTTATTGCATTGTCACGTTTACGACAGTTAAAAATCCTAAAAGCGATGTTACTTTGTACTTTACCATAAATAAAACAATTTCTTATTTCTTTCTTTCTGATTGGACATATTGACAGGTTGCATGAGTTTCACCATATTAAGCCGTGAGCATCAGATGTTTCTGAGACTCTGGCGTCCGCAAAGCCTGGGAAAAGACTGTATTTGACATTCAGAACCGGGAAAAAAGCAGAGCGTCCCACTGGAAGGCTAACTCATATTCGTTTCCAAAGAGGGCTTGACCCGTTCGCAGAGTCCAAAACACACATCGAGCTCTCTCGCTGAGGGCGTCTCATGACCTTCACCTTCACTCTTTCACGAGCTGTTTATGCTGATGCCCGACCCATAAAGAGGTGCGTGTAGAGGGACAATTGAATCAAACACGAAGCCTGACGTCATGAACACACACACACACGCACACACACACACACGGGAGTGGCAGTGTTTGCGTGGTGTTGTTGCATGTGAAGAGCACATTTCCTCGAGTCCCCTGACGGCACTAAACGTGTCCGTGAAGCCGGGTCGTAACGGTGGCATGTGCACTGCATTGCCTTCGGCGTTTCGCGCAGCTATAAAACTTAATATTGCTCACACACATGGGGGAAATAAAAGCTTTTTAATGGCTGATGTCATGCAGACCTGAAACCTGCGGCGCTGGACAGCAGACCTGCTCATTACCGGCAGAAAACTGCTCATTCACACACACAAGCTCACTTTCTCACACACCTTTAAAACCACTGATTCTGATCGTCTGATTAAAACTAACCAACAGCAAACTACACACTCTAAAAAATATTGGGTTATTTTTTTCTACCCAAATCCTGGGTTGAGTCTTTTGGGTAATTCTTTTTAGCATTTGGGTAATTTTCTTGTGTAACCCAGATCTTGGGTCAGACGTAACAACCCAGTGTATTCTAACTAATTCATCTTTCTTTCTAACTAATCTTTCTTTCTTTCTAAGTAATCTATCTTTCTTTCTAACTAATCTATCTTTCTTTCTAACTAATCTTTCTTTCTTTCTAAGTAATCTATCTTTCTTTCTAACTAATCCATATTTCTTTCTTTCCAACTAATCCATCTTTCTTTCTTTCTTTCTAACTAATCCATCTTTCTTTCTTTCTTTCTAACTAATCCATATTTCTTTCTTTCTTTCTAACTAATCCATATTTCTTTCTTTCTTTCTTTCTTTCTTTCTTTCTTTCTTTCTTTCTTTCTTTCTTTCTTTCCAACTAATCCATCTTTCTTTCTTTCTAACTAATCTTTCTAACTATTATTTCATTCTGTCTAACTAATCTTTTTTTCTATCTATTCTTTCTTTCTTTCTAACTACTCTTCTTTCTTTCTTTCTAACTAATCATTCTTTCTAACTAATCTTTCTAACTTTTCTTTCTTTCTTCTAACTAATCTTTCTTTCTATCTTTTTTCTAATCTTTCTATTTTCCTTTCTTTCTAACTAATCTTTCTTTCATTGAAACTAATCTTTCTACCGAATCTTTCTTTCTTTGTTTTTTTCTTTCTTTCTAACAAATCTTTATTTCTTTCTAACTAATATTTCTTTCTTTCTTTCTTTCTTTCTTTCTTTCTAACTAATCTTTCTTTCATTGAAACTAATATTTCTATATATCTATTATTTATCTTTCTAACTAATCTTTCTTTTCTTTCTACCTAAGAAATCTATCAAACTTTAAACTACTTTAAACTTCTTCAAACTCTCTGGTCCGGATTTCTCAAGCCAACTTAAAGTTTGTCTCATCAAACTTTTTTTCTAGTTGAGCTTTGAGTTTCTTTAAACTGACATTTAATAAAATTCAGAAATGGAGAGTGTTCTCTAGCTGGTGTGCCACTAGGAACCTGAACCCACACTCGTGCGAGATACCGAGTGTACTCGCCCTTTTACAAGAGCTTTTGGACAAGGGTCACACCCCCACCAAGCTTAAAGTATATGTGGCGGCCATAGCAGCATTTCACGCTCCCGTGGCCGGACAAACACTAGGGAGAAACGACCTGGTCCTCCGCTTCCTTAAAGGGGCAAAGAGGCTAAACCCTCCGTGAGAGCACTTTAGGAATATACCCATGTCTAGGCTTAAGGACAGCTCTGCAGTCGTTAGGTCCAAACTCAAGACAGGACGCGTTCGAAGACAACACGTGCAGATCGCCCACTCTTTTAAAGGGGTCATATAATGGTACATGCACTTTTACAAGTTGATTGTACTGAAATGTGTGTTGGCAGTGCCTGTACACAAACATCATAAAATGATAAAAATCCATCCAGTGTTTTTGTTTTAATCTCCTTATATGTTTTCCCCTGCCTCAAATCTGTGACGTCACACGCTCAGAAGCCCCTCCCGCGATTGTTGATTGACAGCAGCGTTTCAACACAGACCCGCCCTCGCTCATGAGAGAGCTGTCAATCATAGTCTGCGCGGACCGCCGCGCTCATTGTTGATATGCTGGAGCACTGTCTATGAGCAGAATAGCGTCTAAGCGATTGTGGTGTTCTGTTCTGTTCTTGGGTGTAATAACGAACACAGTCATTTTAATGTTCCTAAATCCGAACCGCTGAAGACGCAGTGGCTGAGTTTTGTTTTCGAAGGGAATATTCCCCACGAGCTCAATGCTCTCATGTTTGTGCGAATCATTTCTCACCAGACTGCTTTATAAACGAGGGTCAGTATAAAGATGGTTTTGCTAAGAAGCTGCTCATGAATAAAGGATCGGTACCAGATATTCGTGTTCCTGCTGAACCTCCAGAAGAACTGAAGTGAGTGAAACGTTTTATTAAACTTTATATTAATATTTATATTTATCTTTGCAAATCGCTAGCTGCACGCTTCACAATGAATGCGTCTAAGGTTTACACTCAGGGTACATTACGGCATGTTTTCTATGTATGACGTTCTCAATATAATTCATAATCCCTCGTTTATAATGAACAACGCGTTATGGTTATTGTGTTATTGTGTTACAAACGGTGAATGCACAGCACAGAGAGGCGGAGTCAGCAAAGCTCATGATCATTTAAAGGCATATGCACTGAAACGGCGTGCTGAAAACAGAGCTGTTTTTGACCAGGTAAAATAAGGGTTTTCTTACAATACTAATGAGAATTTTTAATTAAAGTATATTACAAACTTTTAATTTAGACCCTAAAGAATCATATTAGCTTGTACAAAAATGGCATTATATGACCCCTTTAACTGAGGCGAGCACCAGTAAAAGAGCGGCAGTAAAAGAGTAAAAGTGGCTCAAACGGGGCGCCCTGTTCCAGGACCGTGGAGAGGTCCAAGATAGGCACAGCACCCCCGTCAGAGCACAGGTTGTTTCCCTGACAGCCGTCATTTACATTTACATTTATTTAGCTGACGCTTTTATCCAAAGCGACTTACAATTGCTATATATGTCAGAGGTCGCACGCCTCTGGAGCAGCTAGGGGTTAAGTGTCTTGCTCAGGGACACATTGGTGTCTCACAGTGGTTTCGAACCCGGGTCTCTCACACCAAAGGCATGTGTCTTATCCACTGCGCCATCACCACCCAGGGCTCTCAGAGTGTATCTGGAGCGTTCTGCCTCATTCAGACAGTCAGAACAGCTTTTTGTGTGCTTTGGCGGCCGCACCAATGGGCCTTCACTGCCCCTTAGGCATCAGAGCTCATTCCACAAGAGGCATGGCCTCGTCTTGGGCTTGGTTCGAGTGGA